TCCCTCTCTCCCCCTCTCTCCCTCTCTCTCCCCCCCTCTCTCCCTCTCTCTCGCTCCCTCCCCAATGTTGCTGTGATAATAGCGGTCAGTGGTCCGAGCAAATCTACATGTCGACCTGCTGTCAATGCTATAGCAAACTGTGAACCTTACAAGTAATGCGCAGCCAAGTGCCTATGGAACACGGTCATTTGTTGCAATAGAAAAATTGCACTTGCACTTGCCGCGGTGGGGCATTTTTTTAAATGGGCAAGCCAGAAAAGAAGGTTGTTCCGAATGCTGGCTCTGTGGGCTTTCACCATGAGTGGTTCCACGCTGACCTGAACTAGTGGCCCCATGAGCCACATTTTTGATATGATTGAAGAATATCTCAGAGAATGAAAACTGATATAGGAAAAGTCCCAAGGACATTGTCGAATGGCTCTCCCTACGCCACAAAATTGTCGGCAAATCCATGTGACAATACCGGACCACTGAAAGCGACAAGTAACAAGGTGACCCACCACCAAGCCACACAACAGTCATTAACAGCATTAACAGCATTAACAATCCAAAACACGAATGCGGCATGCAGTTTAAATCATAGGTCTGAGCTGCAGAGTCCATGATATTCCAAATTCTGTCCCTGTAAGTTCTGGTTCTTGTTTATATATTCCTATGCAGCGTCCAATTGAAGCTCCCCAGCCCTTTCTTGACGGGTGGCTTTTGGGTTTCGGCGTTTGGTGATATGTTGATACATTGATAGTAGCCCCCAATAAAAAGACTTGGCCAAGAACACAGCAACCGTTGCCATGGGCCGGTTTGGGTTGATGAGGTGCTTCGCTGTTCAAGTGCAAAGAGACACAGAATTTCCGACGATGCTGATGTTCTTGGAGCTGTCTATTGTTGCAAAATCCGCCAGCCACCTTCTGGGAACCACCGTGAATGCTTCACCTCACAATGGAACTTTTTTTTGGGAGGTCACAAGCACTATCCGAGGATGCACTCCGGTAAGAACGTGTCAGAAGTTACCTAGTCCATCAAACAAGCAAGGCACAACACATGGGGGAAGCTATCCCAAGCAAGCAAGCGCCACGAACAAAAGAGAGAGAGAGAGAGAGGAAAAGATAGAAAGAACTGTTATTTACATGGTGTATATGTACACAAAACACGCGCATATAGAATCATATAGAGAGAGAGAGAGAAGGAAAAAAACATGGCAGGAAAGCAACACACATCTACAATTAGGTCATGATGCTTGCTGTTGATCAAAGTCAGCAAACAAAACCCATGATGGAGCGAGGAGCCATGATCATTTAAACATACCTATGGCTATATAATGCTATATATATACATATAGTGTGGTCAGGGACTTGCCTTTGCACGGGATCACCTCGAACAGGGAAAAGCCTCAACCCAACGGGAGAGTGACATCGGACAGCTCTCTGGCAAAAGACCGAGGAGACGGCCGGTTGGATGTGAGTGGAGCGTCCAAGGCAAAGGGAGGCTGTCAGTGTGGGCAATGCTTGCTAACACTGCCGTAGCATGATTCACAAAATGTTCTGGTCACTGGCAATTGCGTGGAGTGACCAAGCAAACATGTCATTGTCATTGTACAAACTGCAAGAAGCCAGCGACAAATTGTCAGCCTGCAGCTCTGGAGTTATGGGGGTTGCAAGCGAGTCCAGAACGAACCTCATGGAGCCGAGACAATGCGAAAATGAGATTAAGCATCAACCAACAGCCCACTAGTAGTACAAACAATTGCAGGCGATGAGTTCCCCAAAAAGGAATCTGCCACAAGTTACTGTATCACTCTTTCATGTTTTTTCCTCGGGGGAAGACCGTAGTAAACGGAGACGGGGTACTGGATGGGCAGGGATACCGCGCCACGTGGTATAGCAACGCAATATCCATCCAAAGACGTCCTACTGTTTGGTTTTATCGATTCACGAACAAATCCCCAAAAACACGAGCAACCTAAACAATCATGCTGGGAACTGCCTAGCGAACCTTGTCTATCAGCCCCCGGGCAGACCCCATGATGTTGAAAAAACTTAAACTCAACTATACTGATAGCCCAAGCCTGTGTGGAAGAAGAGCAAATCCATGGGACTGGTGTGAGTTCATGTTGCGCGTCTGATTCGAAATAAGCCCTGTGAAGGCCCGAAAAATACATTGGCGCTGCAACAAAAACACAAAACATGTTAAGAACAAAGCATGACAATTCCGCATCTGCGGGCAAGATCTTACTTGGCAACTGCAAAGCCGCGCTTTGAATTTCGGTAGGCCGCATGGTTCCAACCTTGAGAATGATGTCGTCCAAATGGCTCCAAATGGAGGAGAATTGCAAATCTCAAAGTTTCCTTGCTTGGCTGGGGTAAGGACCGTGCCGGACCATAGGTTTCTGTTGAGTCAAATTCTAGTCAGTGTTCACTACTGTCGCCTTGTGGTGTTTTGCAAGTGCATGCCTGCTTTGTGCATCTCCTGTGTGCTTGCTGTGCGATTTCAATGGTGTTTTGCAACTCTGAAAAGCTTTGTGCAGTGGAACTGTTGCATTAAAATGTGCTTCCCTCCCTAAACACAGAATGTTTCACTAAAGCGGGAAGAACTCTTAATTCTTCCAACTTTACCGCCACGAGAGGTGGGTTCTGTTTGGCGATGCGTTTCTACGATTTCCTCCTCAAATTCCTTGTCAAAAACGGCACGGGAATCATCGAAAATTCTACATTTTCTGCTGTGGCGCTGAGACCCGGTTCTGGGAGCTGGACTGGCTTTCTGCGTTTGCACTGGTCCCATTGCGTTTTGCAATCTGGCGGTTGCGCTGCCGAATTGCTGGGCCAAGGTGGCTTTTGACGTGTACCTGCTCGTGGTGCTGTTTCCGAACTGTCAAGACGCAAAAATGCCACGGGAAAGAGGTGTCAAAGGACAGAGATGTCAATGGAAAGAGATTATATAAGAGGAAGAAATGTCACGAGAACTTTTTGTCAAAAGAGTAAGAGCGTCAAAAAAATAAAATTCAAAGGAAAAAATGCGAAGAGAAAGAGAGAGAGAGAGAGAGAGAGACAGAGAAGTGGCATTCCCGCTCGCGGTGTAAACAAAGACCCGATGATCTTGATGACTCCTCAAGGGTAGTCTTGACAGCCAAAGGATGCAGTGTGTAGTGCTTTGAATTTGAAACATTACCCCAACTCCTATCCACATTTTTTCCAGCCTTGTGCGGGCGTTACTTGTATCCTGTGTGTTGCGACTTCCTGCCTCCTTGCAGTGAAACGAAGGGCCTGTCTACTCAAAGAACATGTCGGGGAAGGTTTGCGGCAGAATCTGAGTCACCAACTGGCTAAGCACCTTCTGGCAACGATCTGCCTGAGGAACAAACCCCATTGTATATATATATATAAAATAACACAAAAAAAAACAGTAATAGTAAATTATTCCCCGGGGTTGTGATAGAGAAACAACCGGCTATATTAAAGCGCGAAAACACCAATTTCGAGTGGAAACTTCCACGTGGCGCATGCTAGCAGACTAGTGTGCTTTACCCGAATCCCCACAGATGGATAAGAGGATGAGAGCACCGCTGTCAGCGCCGCTGTCCTTCCCCAAAATCTATGATTGGGTGAATGATTCTGGGGCAAAAACAATTTGCAGCGTTGCTGCTGGTTAAAATGGCGCAATCAAGTTCCACCAGACGCTGAGCGTGCTGCCTCAGCCTGCTCGCCATTGCCAGTCATGACCTGCAACCACTTAACCTTGGCACGCACTGCAGCAAATACGACAGACACCAACCAACACGCACCATAAATTTGAGCGTTGATGCTCCAAACTAACCCGAACAAGCCCCGCACAAAATCGGCCCCTGTGCCTGCACAAGCTGCAGGCATCATCGCTGCGGTATATACCCCTCTTGGCGGGGGAGGGGCAAAAATGCAGCTTACAGTTCTCTCCCCCTTCCCCCTTTTTTCTTTTTTTCTCTTTTTCTTTTTCTCTCTTTCTCCCTTTCTCTCTTTCTCTCTTTCTCTTTCTCTTTCTCTCTTTCTCGCTTATTTTCTTTCTCTCTTTCTCTTTCTCTCTTTCTCGCTTTCTCCCTTTCTCCCTTTCTCTCTTTCTCTCTTTCTGTCTTTCCCTCTTTCTCTCTTTCCCTCATCTTTGTGTGGGGTTCTTGTTTCTGATTCTGTATCCCGCTCCTCCTCCTCCGCCGCCTCCTCTTTGTCACACTCAACTACTTTGTCACACATTCTCTTTCACACACAACTTTGTCACACACCATCTTTCAGAACAAACTTTGTCACAACTTTGTCACACACACACATTCTCTTTCACACACAAACTTTGTCACACAATCTCTTTCACGCACAACTTGCTCACACACAACTTTGTCACACACACCATCTTTCAGAACAAACTTTGTCACAACTTTGTCACACACACACACTCTCTTTCACACACAACTTGCTCACACACACACAACTTTGTCACACACACACAACTTGCTCACACACAACTTTGTCACACACAACTTTGTCACACACCATCTTTCAACACAAACTTTGTCACAACTTTGTCACACACACACACACTCTCTCTCTCTTTCACACACAACTTGCTCACACACAACTTTGTCACACACACACACAGCTTGCTCACACACACAACTTTGTCACACACCATCTTTCAACACAAACTTTGTCACACACTCTCTTTCACACACAACATTGTCGCACACAACTTTGTCACACCATCTTTGCGTGGCAGGCGTTTCGCGTGGCAGGTGGCACTTGGCGACATCCACCATCACTTTGCGCGGCAGGCATGGCACTTGGCGGCATCGACTGTGGCACTTATAGCATTGGGCTGGCTCTGGTGGCGCGCTTGGGGCCCGTTAGGCCCGTGACGCCACGGCACTTTGCGTGGCAGGCGTGGCACTTGGCAACGTCAAGTTTCGTTTTGCTTGGCAGGCGTGGCACTTACGGCACTTGGCGGCTTGGCTCTTGTGGTGCGCTTGGGGCCCGTGGCACTTTTTGCGTGGCAGGCGTGGCACTTGGTGACATCCACCGTCACTTTGCATGGCATTGCGTGGCAAGCGTGGCACTTACGGCACTTGGCGGGCTCTTGTGGCGCGCTTGGGGCCGGAGAAAACGCAATAGGGGAACAATGAAACACCACGAACTCATCAGAAACCAGATTATGGCAGCTATGCAACCACGGAATGCTACAATATGTCCCACATCACAAAAACATACTAGACGACGGATGGCCCGAGAGCGTAGAGAGCAGGGTCTTCTCTTGTTAGTATGGAGACACCATATTACAAAACATCCCCTTCTAGATTAAGTGGAGGGGTTGGGTGCCCCCATTTTATAGTACTAAAACCGGGGCACCCACCCCCCCCAAAGTGGGACCTCTATAAAATGGAAACACCCAGGGTCACAAAACAGGTGCACCTCTATAAAATAGGAAATTCATTTGAAAAAACAAATATTTACAGCTACAAATTTACTGCAAAACCCTCCATCACTATAAAATGGGAGGCCCCAACGTACCCTGGAGCCTAGCCTTAAAATGAAGAAAATAGCCAACTTTTTACTATAGAATGGGAACCCCCAACCCCCTGTATATAGCTTCAATTTTACAACATCCAAAAATGAATGGTTTCTTGAGGGGTTGGGTGCTCTGATTTTATAGAGATTACATGCCCTTCCTGGTAGGATTTTCTGGGGGGTGGGGGTTTCCATTTTATAGTGCCGCAGCCTTCCCACATCCTCCCACCATCATCGCCCCAAAGACACCACATTTTTCTTTAGCCCGGGACGTCCCAAAGCCAAGGGATGCTGACACAAAGACCAAAACTTATTTTCTGGTAGTTTTCCATTGGTCCCATGCTGTCCCATGTCCCAAAAGCCAAGGGATGTTGACAAAAAGACTGGTATCGACGGAGCTGGGTATTTTGGGGCAGCTGGGTATTTTTTTGGGTGGGATGGAGATAGTTTTCCATTTTATAGTGGTCCCATGCTGTCCCATGTCCCAAAAAGCAAGGGATGTCGACAAAAAGATTCCAAGCTTGGTATTTTGTGGAAAGTTTTCCATTTTATAGTGGTCCCATGCTGTCCCATGTCCCAAAGCCAAAGGATTTTTTCCAAGCTGGGTATTTAGGGGTATCGACAAAGCTGGGTATTTTGGGCCAGCTGGGTATTTTGGAGTAGGATGGAGAAAGCTGGCTTTGTCTGTCCTCTCTATTCCATTCTCTTCCATTCTTACGTTTCTCTGGTTTGGGAACACTCCCCCAGGTTCCCATTGCCATCCATGCTATAGCAGGAAACGGCACGCGAAGACTGAGCAATGCAACTACAACCCATGATCACTATAAAATGGAGGCTACCAACCCCCAAAAAGAATGACTTCCTGAAACCTCCGGACTCTATAGAATGGGAACACCCAACCCCCATACATGAGTGTCATGCCAAAAAGGGCATCACTATAAAATGGAATTTGATATTATAAAATCAAAATTTTCCTGCCCCCCTGGGGTCACTATAAAATGAAAGTACCAACCCCCTAGAAAAAAACCTAGCTAAATTCTGTCTAAAAAAAATGGTTTAGTGGGACCCCGGGGTCCCCCATTTTAGAGTGGTTATTCCAAAGGGGATTACAAAACAATAAATTAAAGATGTGTTATCGGCATACGAGAAGAGGAGTATCAAGACAATATAGCACAAGTACAAGACAATAGTTTGCATCGCAAACACTTTTACACACAGAAGCTTTTACACACAGAAGCTTTTACACACAAAAGCTTTTACACACAGAAGCTTTTACACACAGGCACTTTCACACAACAGACGCTTTTACACACAGACGCTTTTACACACAGGCGCTTTTACACACAGAAGCTTTTACACACAGACACTTTTACACCCAGACCCTTTTACACACAGGAGCTTTTACACACAGAAGCTTTTACACGCAGACGCTTTTACACACAGAAGCTTTTACACACAGACGCTTTTACACCCAGACGGTTTTACACAGAGACACTTTTACACACAAACACTTTTACACACAAACACTTTTACACAGAGATGCTTTTACACACAGACACTTTTACACACAGGCACTTTTACACACAGATAGTTTTACACACAGACGCTTTTACACACAGAGACTTTTACACACAGACGCGTTTACACTCAGAACCTTTTACACACAGACGCGTTTACACACAGAAGCTTTTACACACAGAAGCTTTTGCACACAGACGCTTTTACACACAAACAATTTTAGACACAAACACTTTTACAGACAGACGCTTTTACACACAGACGCTTTTACACACAGGCCGGCCCATGCTCACATGCGAAAGGGTTCGCGGGACAAGAGGGACGACTTGAAATCGCAATTTTACCTCAGTTTTTGGCGATCGAACCTCATTTCGTGCGAAAGGGTTGCGCGGGACGACTTGGAGTCGCAATTTTACCTCAGTTTTTGGCAATCGAACCTCATTTCGTGCGAAAGAATTCGCGGGACAAGTGAAATCGCAATTTTACCTCAGTTTTTGACGATAGAACCTCATTTCGTGCGAAAGGGTTCGCGGGACAAGTTGAAATCGCAATTTTACTTCAGTTTTTGGGAATCGAACCTCATTTCGTGCGAAAGGGTTGCGCGGGACAAGTTGAAATCGCAATTTTACCTCAGTTTTTAGCGATCGAACCTCATTTCGTGCGAAAAGGTTGCGCCGGACAAGTTGAAATCGCAATTTTACCTCAGTTTTTGGCGATCGAACCTCATTTCGTGCGAAAAGGTTGCGTTTCGTGCCGTCTTGTTGGCACTGCCCCTGCCCCCGCCTTCAGAAGAGAAATAGAAAAGAAGGAGAGGGCAAGAGGGCAAGAGGACAAGAGGAGAAGATGTGAAGATGTGAGGATGTGAAGATGTGAGGATGTGAAGATGTGAAGATGTGAGGATGAGAAGATGTAAAGATGTGAGGATGTGAAGATGTGAAGATGTGAGGATGAGAAGATGTGAGGATGTGAAGATGTGAAGATGAGCAGATGTGAAGATGAGAAGATGTGAAGATGTAAAGATGTGAAGATGTGAAGATGAGAAGATGTGAAGATGTAAAGATGTGAAGATGTGAGGATGTGAAGATGTGAGGATGTGAAAATGTGAAGATGTGAATATGTGAAGATGATGAGAAAATGTGAATGAGGATGTGAAAATGTGAAGATGTGAATATGTGAAGATGATGAGAAAATGTGAAAATGAGAAGATGTGAGGATGAGAAGATGTGAAGATGAGAAGATGAGAAGATGAGATGAAGATGTGAAGATGAGAAGATTAGCAGATGTGAAGATGAGAAGATGTGAAGATGTGAAGATGTGAAGATGTGAATATGTGAAGATGATGAGAAAATGTGAAAATGAGAAGATGTGAGGATGAGAAGATGTGAAGATGAGAAGATGAGAAGATGTGAGGATGTGAAGATGTGAAGATGTGAAGATGATGAGAAAATGTGAAGATGTGAAAATGAGAAGATGTGAGGATGAGAAGATGTGAAGATGAGAAGATTAGAAGATGAGATACAGACCCCCGCTATCGGAAGAACCCTGCGCTCAGACGCTCTCGGGAACAAAAACCTAATATGCAGAAAATAGGCACCTTGCGCAAAGATGAGGCAACTTGTCGGCCTACGAGCCCAGCGTCCGGATGGAAGAACTTTAGCGACCTGTCAGCCATGGTCCCGTCAGGCACGGCAGACCGGCGACAAGCTCAAGTCACCTGACTGTTAACATGTGACCCAGCGATATCTTGCGGCGCGACCAGCCACAAGCATTCTTCAAGCATGCTTCAGCATCCCACATCATTGTCCGGTCTCATTGTCGGCTTGCTTCGTCTTTTCTTGGCATGGTTGCCACGCGCCAATTGGGTGCAAGACGCGTCCGTTAACATGTCCTTCAAAGACCCAGGTCATAATACTTAATACTTGTCATTATTATTATGTTATGCTCTAAAATTATGCTAAGTCTCTTGGCCTTGCTTGGTCGCAACACAACAGCAGACGGAAAACAGGATCGGGTTTCTACCACTCAAAGCCCAATGTAGACAAACGAGCTGTATCATTCGTATCATTTTTGGGGCAGTTTCTGACCACTTGCAAAATCCACACGGTTGGTTTCTTTTTGTTCTCGCGGGGCAAAAAATGGTGTGTGTGTTTTGCGTGCCTGAGCTAGAACAGTGTTGAGAAAGCACGTGCGCTGATGATGTCAACGGTGCACGTGGCTAAACGTGACTCTTGATTGGGGTGGCAGCTCAAATGCATGATAGGTGAGCAAGTGGACAGAACATGACCGAACCTGCCAGTACCAAGCGGCTGAGGTCTTAAAAGCTTGGCATTGTTTGTGAAAAAAGATGAGATTGGTATGCTTTGGTATTTGTTTTTAAGAATGGTACGAAACCATACGAAACCCAAAAGGATCAAGAGGACAAACCAAGATGACAAACCCTTGCCCTCGAACCGGATTTGAAACATTGCTTTGCGATCACAGCACTACGCAGCAAAAAGCAATCTAAAAAGTAGATCTTGCATGTCTCAATAGGGCTGTTGAAGTTTTCTAATCAGGGCGCGCGCTTGTCCCACAGCCCCTCGGCCCAACCATATCTAATCCGGCCCAGCCTATCCCAAAGCTTTGTGGGAAGAATGACGCCGCTTCCAGCAGGTTTGATGTTGTCCACCAGTTTCTGACCGCACCTACACTGGAGAATTTGTGGGTGACATGACTTGGCACTGCATGTGCTGATGCAGCAGCCACGTCAACCTGATTCTTTGTGACACGCCAGCTCTGAAGACGGTCATTTACATTTATCTAAGCGCAAAACAGCTGGCACCACAATCCCGTGATCCGAAGCCTCGCGCTGCGGCGGTAGCTCTGCACAGGTCAGCAGAAACACGACCATACGCAGCAAATCCATGAAGAAAAAAACGGCGACACAACTGCTCTGCCCGCCCATGTGCGTGCATGTGTGTTTGTTCAGTTTGTTCGTGTGTGCACAGTTGCGGTGGGCGAAAGCCTTCTCGGATGCATGTACGTTGTTTTTTTCCGGTCAACTATTTTGCATACGTCTCAGTGGTGCGTGGCAGATACGCATCTCTTGCACGAACGCGGGTGTTTGTCGTTGCGTTTGTGAACAGACACAATTGGCCATTGGCAGCATACAGAAGCCATACGGACAAACGCCCGAGAAACAACATCATTCCACCTTGCGATGGCAAATTCGATTGCCAAAACCTAGGGCAGGTTTTGGTCTCGGTTTTGCAAGTTGATGCGCCGTAGAAAGTGCAGAAAATAATCAGCTGAAGGCATTGAATCATATTGAATCCACCATGTGTTGGCACATTCTGCCTACCGAGGCCGCAGGTGAAATCGTGGGGCAGATGCCCAACAGAGCATATCTTTTAATGTATGTATTGAGACTTGGCTTGTACGTCTTCTTTCCAAAAGCATAGTTTTGTTTTGCTTGCAAGTGTGTGAGCATGCTGGCTTGCATGCACCCAAGCATCCACACAGACCTTTTCCCGACATGCTAAATATGTCGTACGTATGTTTTTACAAAAGTATGTACGCACGTATGCATGCATGTGTGTAAATCCGAAGATGTGTATGCACGCATGCATGCATGCATGCATGCATGCATGTGTGTGTGTGTATGTATGCACGTATGTGTGCATGTATATGTGTATGTAAGCATGCACGCAATTATGATCAATTACACTCTTTTCAGAGTAGATGGCTCCGCCCGCTTCCAAAGTGCGCGTATATAGATGGCGCCGACTTTTTGAATTTTGACACCCGAAAAGGGCGTGACATCCATCCCCCTTACTTTTGTGGGCCGCGCCATCTATGCCAGAATGTGTTGCCAATGTGTTTCAGGGTTGCGCCATCTATGCAGGGATTCTTAAGTCCAAAGTTTCCAAGCCTCCGCAACATTCACCCAGTCGGTTGCGCTCGATTTTTTCTCTTCCCTTTCTCCTTCTCCTTTCCCTTTCCCCTTTCCTTTTCTCCTGTCCCCTTCCCTTTCTCCTTTCCCTTTCTCCGTTCCCTTTCTTCTTCTTTGTTCTCCTTTTTTCCTCTCTCCTTTCTCCTGACCCTTTCTCCTTCCCCTTTCTTTTTCTCCTTTCGCCTTTCCCTCCTCCATTCCCTTTCCCTTTACACATGGATTTTTTCACTACTAAATAGATGGCGCAACCACCTGGGACAGTGCCATCCAATTGCAGATTTCACACGGAGAGATGGCTCAAGTCAAAACACCCAACATAGTTTTCTCCTTTCTCCTTTCCCTTTCCCCTTTCCTTTTCTCCTTTCCCTTTCCCTTTCTCCTTTCTCCTTTCCCTTTCTCCTTTCCTTTTCCTCTTCTTTGTTCTCTCCTTTTTTCCTCTCTCCTTTCTCCTTTCCCTTCTTTTTCTCCTTTCTCCTTTTCCTCCTCCTTTTCCTTTCCCTTTACAAATGGAACGCAGTGGTAACCTATAGATGGCGCAATCCACAGTTATGGGTTCCCCAAAAAAATTCAGTTGCCTGTCCCTTTCCCTTTCTCCTTTCTCCTTTCCCTCCTCCCCTCACTGTCCCTTCCCCTTTCTCCTTTTCCCTTATGCTTTCCCTTTCCCCTTTCCTTTTCCCCTTCTTTGTTCTCTCCTTTTTTCCTTTCTCCTTTCTCCTTCCCCTTTCTTTTTCTCCTTTCGCCTTTCCCTCCTCCATTCCCTTTCCCTTTGCACATGGATTTTTTCACTACTAAATAGATGGCGCAACCACCTGGGACAGTGCCATCCAATTGCAGATTTCACACGGAGAGATGGCTCAAGTCAAAACACCCAACATATTTTTCTCCTTTTCCTTTCCCTTTCTCCTTTCTCCTTTCTCCTTTCCCTTTCCCCTTTCCTTTTCTCCTTTCCCTTTCCCTTTCTCCTTTCTCCTTTCCCTTTCTCCTTTCCTTTTCTCCTTTCCCTTTCCCTTTCTCCTTTCTCCTTTCCCTTTCTCCTTTCCTTTTCCCCTTCTTTGTTCTCTCCTTTTTTCCTTTCTCCTTTCTCCTTTCCCTTTCTTTTTCTCCTTTCTCCTTTTCCTCCTCCTTTTCCTTTCCCTTTACAAATGGAACGCAGTGGTAACCTATAGATGGCGCAATCCACAGTTATGGGTACCCCAAAAAAATTCAATTGCCTGTCCCTTTCCCTTTCTCCTTTCTCCGTTCCCTCCTCCCCTCACTGTCCCTTCCCCTTTCTCCTTTTCCCTTATGCTTTCCCTTTCCCCTTTCCCTTTCTCCTTTTCCCATTTCCCCTTTCTCCTTTCCCCGTTCCCTTTCTCATTCCCTTCCCCCTCTTCCTTTCTCCTTTCCCTTTCCCTGTATTTTTCTCCTTTTTCCCTCCTCCTTTCCCTTTCCCTTTACAAATGGAACGCAGTGGTAACCTATAGATGGCGCAATCCACAGTTATGGTTTCGCGAAGAAAAATCCAGTTCCCTGTCCCTTTCCCTTTCTCCTGTCCCCTTCTCCTTTCCCGAACAAATATGCAATTGCAATATTCAATTGCATGGCACTGTCCCAGGTGGTTGCGCCATCTATTCAGTGGTTTAGCAGTGAAAAAAATCCTTCCCCGAAAAACTTTTGTTGAACACACATCCCCCTTACTTTTTCAACGCTTTGATGACCGAAATGTCCGGTCCCGGAAGAAGGGATTTAAATTAAAAATGTGGTAGGTGGCGCAATTTGGCCCATTTTGCACATGTAGGGTTGCGCCATCTTTGGGCACATTTGCTGTTTCGGGTAAATTTGGGAAAGGATTTTTTCACTGTTAAATAGATGGCGCAACCACCTCTGAGAAAGTAGGTCTGAGCCATGTATTCTGAATGTAGAGTATGTATGTATGCATGCATGCAAAATTTTATGTATGTATGTCTGTCTCTCTGTCCGTCTGTCGGCATGCATGCATGCATGTATCCTTGCGTGCTGCACGTATGCATGCCCGCCTGCATGCATGCATGTATGCATGTATTTATGTATGTATGTCTGTCTCTCTGTCCGTCTGTCGGCATGCATGCATGCATGCATGCATGTATGCTTGCGTGCTGCACGTATGCATGCCCGCCTGCATGCATGTATGCATGTATGTGTCTATGTATGCGTATGCGATTATGTGTATGTCTGTATGTCTGTAAGCCTGAATGTCTGTATATGCGTAAGTGCGTATGTGCGTATGTACGTATGTACGTATGTATGTAAGTAAGTGTATGTATGCATGTGAGTATAAAGGTGTGTGAGTATGTAAGTATCAACGTATCTACGTATCTACGTATGTACGTATGTATGTATGCATGTATGTATGTATGTATGTATGTAAGCATGTAAGCATGTAAGTGTGTAAGTAAGCATGTAAGTAGGTATGTATGTATGTGTGTGTGTGCCACGCATGCATGCATGGATGTATTGATGGATAAATGGATGTATGTGGTTGTTGATCAAAATTCTTTTATCCCGGAACGGCCATTCTTCGCGAATAAACATTTTACTTTCGCGAAACTTTCGCAAACTCCATGTTTATCTTTCGCGGGGCCCATGTTGGCCAACAACACCTCTTATGAAGATTCGTTCACCACCTGCCAAATTACGCCAGAGAATCACGGATCACTTCTTGGTAGCCTTTTAAACATGCAGCTAGCATCACGGAATCCCTTCTCAGGACAGCTTTTTTTGCAAAGTTTACTGGCCCACCCCCTTCAACATGCACTTTGACTTTCGCCCGCTCTTTCGCATAACTTTCGCGGAACTTTCGCGAAATTATCCCTATTCACAGACCCCGGCCATCAGCAGGGGGGTGCACTGAAGGAAAAGCGAAGACCAGGGGCCTTGGTGTTTGGCTCTCGCAAAGCCTCACTTTTGGAAACTTGGCTACTGCTACTCGCATTCTCTGGTGCCCTTCTCCTGCCGGACCCCGGGCGGCAGCGGGTTGGCAGCCCTTTACATATAATGATTATAATACCCAACTTTCGCGAAACTTTCGCCAAATAAAATTTTACTTTCGCGAACTCGAAAAAAAACTTTCGCGAGGATTTCCAACATAACATGCACGGCTTTCGCAATTAAAACTCCTTACAAGGACCTTTAGATCGATCACCATGTGTGTATGCATGCATGTATGTCATGCAGGTAGGTAGGTAGCTAGCTAGCTCGAAAGTTAGGTAGGTAGGTAGGTAGGTAGGAACCAGTTAGGTAGGTAGGTAGGACTGTATTTACATAGGTATATGTGTATGCATGTTTGCATGCAGGTATTTATACAGTATATGTATGTATGTCTGTGTATGTATGTATGTATGTTTGTATGTATGTATGTGGGTATGTATGTGAGTATGTATGTGAGTATGTATGCATGCATGCATGGATGGACAGATGGATGTATGGATGTATGTATGTAATGTAATGTAATGTATTGTAATGTAATGTAATGTAGTGTAGCGTAATATAATGTAATGTAATGTATGCAGTGTATGAAATATATGTCCTTATGTAGGTAGGTATCTAGGTAGGTATGTAGGTATGTAATAGTACGTAGGTATGCTGGTGTGTAGGTGGGCATTTTATTTGTATGCTTGCATGTTTGTTTGTGTGTCTACATAGCATGGTCTGGTGTTGTATGGCATGATGTGGTATGGTTTACAATGATTATGCTTGTATGCGTGTAGCGCATTGGTATGCACTGTAATGGTGTGCAGCGTAAAAGAATGTCATGTGACTATGTGTGCATGTATGTATGTAGGTATATATGTATGTATGTATGTATGTATGTATGTATGTGTGTATGTATGTATGTATGTATGTATGTATGTATTTTTGCATGTACCTAGGTATCTATGCATCAATGTGTTTGTATGTATGTTTGCTTATGCATGCATGCATGTATGTATGCCTGTGCGCATGCATCGCTTAATGTATGTTGTGTTTCTGTGCGTATGCGCGTGGGCGATTGTGCCGCAAGTTGATAGGTACTTCGGTAAGGCTGTACTGTAAGTAGAGGCGTAAAACGCGTGCAGGTGCAGATCCACCATGTACATGTAGACGCGACGTGCGCCTAAAAGTCTGCACAGTCGCATCTGGATGTGGATGTATGCGAATACGTGCCTGGTATCTCTAGATGTATCATCATGCACAGAAATGATTGACATGACCTACAAGTATCAAAATAACTGAACGCACAGGTGCTCAAGTATTTATACATATGTCCCAGTACATACACACATGCACACGTAGAATCATGTGTATGCAGATGTACTTGCATATGTAGATGCCTACCTGCCTGCTTACCTGCCTACCTGCCTACCTATCTGCCTGCCTGCCTGTCTGACTGTCTGTCGGTCTTTACATATCTGGGTGGGTGAGTCGGTAGGTATGCATGGGATGGACGCAGAGAATCAAACGCCTGGGGTGGGCCAAAGCAATCTTCACAATACTTGTGAGGTGGGTGGCCTCATTCGTCTCCATCTGCTTGGAATAGTGGCTGCCACCGCTGGAAGAACCCATGGGTGGTAATCTGACTTGCAGCCGGGCGTTGCTTCAGCACAGAACCCATGTTGGCAAGGGTTTTTTAATCACCGATAGTCAATAATGTATATTTTCGCCAACAAACCAGCGAAACAAATTGAAGCCTGCAAGATTGCTCACCGTGACCGCTGTTTTTTTCATCACAGGCCTAGCTGGAAAACAACCTTATGCCCGAGCCTGTTGAAACACAATTCTTCGAGAGCAGCTCGTCGATCACAAAACCCATATTGTCCATGGAAGCGGGCTTGAAAATGCGCTGCTGCATGTACCTATGGCACGGGTCTCCGCAGCAGAAAAAGAGTTGCAAAATCTTGGGTCCAAACCGCCAGGGATGGTGCACCGAGACATGCTGAAAAAAGGAAAACACTTTTTTTGGACCTCGATGCATTTCTGTTGGACCTGGACACTTTTACTGGACCTTACTACAATTCTTTTGGAGATGGCTACCCTTCTTTTGGACCTGCACGCCCTCCTGCTGGACCTCATCCTTCCCTCCTGCTCGACCTGGCCCTTTCCCAAACCATAACCCTTTTGGATAGATTCTCCAGTTTCTGTCCAGCCGCGTCTGCATCGCAATTTTTCAGACAGTAGGGCGCTAGAGCTGCGCTAGCATGCAACTGGGCAGGAAGTGCCATGTAGTGTTGTCCTCACAGCTTGAACCGACTTGGACACTCATCCTGGTGAGTTCGTTGCTGCTTGCGAGGGGTATAGTCTGGGAGCCTTGAACTCCAACCAGTGTGATATGCAGCATGGCAGAAAGCCTTTCCTGTACACGGTCTGCTCACAAACCATACCCCCTTTGGATAGATTCTCCAGTTTCTGTCCAGCCACATCTTGATCGCAATTCTTTAGACACAGTTCTTGCATTCATGTTCTTGCATTCCAACCGCGTCTACATGTCCATACGTCCTGTGACCAGATACTAACCAACGAGGCAACATTGATTTCGATGTCGACTCATGTGGCACCCTCAGCTGCGACCATTGCGCCCAGGAGCACCCCCTCGCCGGTACGTTTACACATCTGTCCATGACGGTCTTCGTTGCCTGCAGCCGATGTGGGTTCAATGTCTAGCTTCACCCGTCAACTCTCAGCAACTTATTGCGCTCATCTTGTTCTAATATCTAACTTTCTCTTCCCCCAATGTGCCTTTCAACTTCCTGCATCCATTTGGTTTCATATGTAGGTTTCCCCCCGTTGTCATCTCCACAACTTCTTGCCTTTATGCTGTTTCAATATCCGAACTTCTCCTGCGCCCCTGTGCCTCTCAGCAACTTCCTGCATGCATTTGGTTCCAATATCTCGGCTTCCCCTGTCTCTCAACAACTTCTTGCGCTCATCTGGTTTCAATATCTAACTTTCACCCCGGGGCCTCTCATCAAACTTCTTTAACTTCCTGCATTCATTGGGCTTCAATATCTATACTCTCCAGGGGTTGCAGCGCCCATCTCCTTGTGAAACATTGGGTTTCCCACCTCCTTCCCATTCTGTCCTCTTCTTCTCAAGTTCTACTCTTCACACCTCTGTGCCCCACTTGGGAGCATTCACCTGGCTTCAATATATAAACTTCCGCCCTCCCCTTGTGCCTCTCACCAATTTCCTGCATTCATTTGCTTGGTCTCAAGACTTCACTCTGGCCTCTTGACAACTTTTTGCATGCATCTCAACTTGGTTTTAATGTCTAAGCTTCCCCCCTTGTCTCTCAACAACTTCTTGCGCTCATCTGGTTTCAATATCTAACTTCCCCCCCTGTGCCTCTCATCAAACTTCCTAAACTTCCTGCATTCATTGGGTTTCAATATCTATACTTCCCCCGCAGCCTCCCCATAACTTATTGCGTTCATGTTGTTTTAATATCTAAGCTTCCTCCCCGGTGCCCCGCAACAACTTCCTGCATTCATCTTGCTTCAATATTCCCGGTGCCCCTGAGCAACTTCCTGCATTCATTTGGTTTTATATCTGGTTCCACCGTGGCCTCCTAAAGTCCCCCCCACCGGTGCCTCTCCACAGCTTCCCACATTCATGCGGAATCAATATGTATGCAACTGGGCAGGAAGTGCCATGTAGTGTTGTCCTCACAGCTCGAATCGACTTGGACACTCATCCTGGTGAGTTCGTTGCTGCTTGCAAGGGGTATAGCCCGTCTGGGAGCCTTGAACTCCAACCTGTGTGACAGGAATGACAGTTACCCTGGCTGCCGTGCCTGGACAGTAGGGGGCTAGAGCCGCGGTCATTGGTGGCTAGAGCCGCGGTCATTGGTGAGTTCGTTGCTGCTTGCGAGGGGTATAGCCAGTCTGGGAGCCTTGACCGCGCTAGCAGCTAGCATGCATGCAACATGGCAGGAAGCCTTTCCTGTACACGGTCTGCTCACAAACCATACCCCCTTTGGATAGATTCTCCAGTTTCTGTCCAGCCACATCTTGATCGCAATTCTTCAGACACAGTTCTTGTATTCATCTTCTTGCATTCCAGCCGCGTCTACATGTCCATACGTCCTGTGACCAGATACTAACCAACGAGGCTACATTGATGTCGATGTCGACTCATGTGGCACCCTCAGCTGCGACCGTTGCGCCCAGGAGCACCCCCTCGCCGGTACGTTTACACATCTGTCCATGACGGTCTTCGTTGCCTGCAGCCGATGTGGGTTCAATGTCTAGCTTCACCCGTCAACTCTCAGCAACTTATTGCGCTCATCTTGTTCTAATATCTAACTTTCTCTTCCCCCAATGTGCCTTTCAACTTCCTGCATCCATTTGGTTTCATATGTAGGTGTCCCCCCATTGGCATCTCCACAACTTCTTGCCTTTATGCTGTTTCAATATCCGAACTTCTCCTGCGCCCCTGTGCCTCTCAGCAACTTCCTGCATGCATTTGGTTCCAATATCTCGGCTTCCCCTGTCTCTCAACAACTTCTTGCGCTCATCTGGTTTCAATATCTAACTTTCCCCCCGGGGCCTCTCATCAAACTTCTTTAACTTCCTGCATTCATTGGGCTTCAATATCTATACTCCTCCCAGGTTTGCAGCGCCCATTCCCCTTGTGAACATTGGTTTCGCCACCTCCTTCCCATTTGTTCTGCCTCTTCTTCTCATGTCTACTCCTTCACACCTCTTGTGCCCCACTGAACTTTCCCTGGGCTTCATATATAACTTCCGCCCTCCCCTTGTGCTCTCACCAATTTCCTGCATTCATTCGCTTGGTCTCAAGACTTCACCTCTGGCCTCTTAACAACTTTTTGCATGCATCTCAACTTGGTTTCAATGTCTAAGCTTCCCCCCTTGTCTCTCAACAACTTCTTGCACTCATCTGGTTTCAATATCTAACTTCCCCCCTGTGCCTCTCATCAAACTTCCTAAACTTCCTGCATTCATTGGGTTTCAATATCTATACTTCCCCCGCAGCCTCCCCATAACTTATTGCGTTCATGTTGTTTTAATATCTAAGCTTCCTCCCCGGTGCCCCGCAACAACTTCCTGCATTCATCTTGCTTCAATATTCCCGGTGCCCCTGAGCAACTTCCTGCATTCATTTGGTTTTATATCTGGTTCCACCGTGGCCTCCTAAAGTCCCCCCCACCGGTGCCTCTCCACAGCTTCCCACATTCATGCGGTTTCAATATGTATGCAACCGGGCAGGAAGTGCCATGTAGTGTTGTCCTCACAGCTCGAACCGACTTGGACACTCATCCTGGTGAGTTCGCTGCTGCTTGCGAGGGGTATAGCCAGTCTGGGAGCCTTGAACTCCAACCTGTGTGACAGGAATGACAGTTACCCTGGCTGCCGTGCCTGGACAGTAGGGGGCTAGAGCCGCGGTCATTGGTGGCTAGAGCCGCGGTCATTGGTGAGTTCGTTGCTGCTTGCGAGGGGTATAGCCAGTCTGGGAGCCTTGACCGCGCTAGCAGCTAGCATGCATGCAACATGGCAGGAAGCCTTTCCTGTACACGGTCTGCTCACAAACCATACCCCCTTTGGATAGATTCTCCAGTTTCTGTCCAGCCACATCTTGATCGCAATTCTTCAGACACAGTTCTTGCATTCATCTTCTTGCATTCCAGCCGCGTCTACATGTCCATACGTCCTGTGACCAGATACTAACCAACGAGGCTACATTGATTTCGATGTCGACTCATGTGGCACCCTCAGCTGCGACCATTGCGCCCAGGAGCACCCCCTCGCCGGTACGTTTACACATCTGTCCATGACGGTCTTCGTTGCCTGCAGCCGATGTGGGTTCAATGTCTAGCTTCACCCGTCAACTCTCAGCAACTTATTGCGCTCATCTTGTTCTAATATCTAACTTTCTCTTCCCCCAATGTGCCTGTCAACTTCCTGCATCCATTTGGTTTCATATGTAGGTTTCCCCCCGTTGGCATCTCCACAACTTCTTGCCTTTATGCTGTTTCAATATCCGAACTTCTCCTGCGCCCCTGTGCCTCTCAGCAACTTCCTGCATGCATTTGGTTCCAATATCTCGGCTTCCCCTGTCTCTCAACAACTTCTTGCGCTCATCTGGTTTCAATATCTAACTTTCACCCCGAGGCCTCTCATCAAACTTCTTTAACTTCCTGCATTCATTGGGCTTCAATATCTATACTCTCCAGGGGTTGCAGCGCCCATCTCCTTGTGAAACATTGGGTTTCCCACCTCCTTCCCATTCTGCCCTCTTCTTCTCAATTTCTACTCTTCACACCTCTGCGCCCCACTTGGGAGCATTCACCTGGCTTCAATATCTAAACTTCCGCCCCCTTGTGCCTCTCACCAATTTCCTGCATTCATTTGCTTGGTCTCAAGACTTCACTCTGGCCTCTTGACAACTTTTTGCATGCATCTCAACTTGGTTTCAATGTCTAAGCCTAAGCTTCCCCCCTTGTCACTCAACAACTTCTTGCGCTCATCTGGTTTCAATATCTAACTTCCCCCCCTGTGCCTCTCATCAAACTTCCTAAACTTCCTGCATTCATTGGGTTTCAATATCTATACTTCCCCCGCAGCCTCCCCATAACTTCTTGCGTTCATGTTGTTTTAATATCTAAGCTTCCTCCCCCGTGCCCCGCAACAACTTCCTGCATTCATCTTGCTTCAATATTCCCGGTGCCCCTGAGCAATTTCCTGCATTCATTTGGTTTTATATCTGGTTCCACCGTGGCCTCCTAAAGTCCCCCCCACCGGTGCCTCTCCACAGCTTCCCGCATTCATGCGGTTTCAATATATCAGCTTCCCCTCGTCTCTCCACAGCTTCTGGCATGCACCGTATTTGGGTTCAATATCTAGACTTCCGCTTCTCGTCTCAGCAACTTCTTGCGTTCATCCTTGTTTCGATGTCTAACTTCCCCCTCCCCCACCTGCCTCTTTCTCACCAATTTTCTGCGGTCACCTGGCTTCAATATCTACATGTTCCCCCGTTTCTCTCAACACCTTCTTGCATGCATCCTGTCTCAATATCTAAATTCCCCCCACCCTCTTCCGGCATTCATTTTCGGGTCCCAAAAATTCCCCCTGCGTCTCTCAGCATTTTTTTGCATGTATCTTCATGTATTTTCATTTCGTTTCAATGTCTAGGCTTCACCCCTCATCTCTCAACAACTTTTTGCGCTCATCCTGTTTCAATATCGAACTTTCCCTTTCTCCTATGTGCCCGTCAATTTCCTGCGTCCATTTCGCTTCATACATAGACTTCCCCCATTGGCCTCTCCACCACTTCTTACGATTTTATTGTTTCAATGCTGGAACTTCCCCGGCCGGCATCAACAACTTCTTGCATGCATCTGGTCTCAGTATCTAAATTCCCCCCACCCTGTGCCAGGTCCAAAAAAACGTGTACGAGTTCCAAAAAAGAAGGCGCCAAGGTCCAAAAACATCCAGCCCAATGTGAGCGCCTATAACAATGGAGTTCCCCCCCACCCTATGGAGGCAAGGTCCACGAAGCAGGCGCACGGGTCCAAAAAACAGAAACAGAGCTCAAAAACAATTAATTTGGCTGTCGAAAAAAATTCCCCTGGGTCCAGCACAAATACATGCAGGTCAAAAAAAAATATCCCCACAGGGTCCAGAAAACACACAAGCAAGTCCCCCACATTTTTTTGTGACCCTAGGTCCCAAAAAAATTCCGGTTAGTTAGGTCCAAAAAACATGTACAGGTCCAAAAAAAGGGTGCCCAGGTCCAAAAAACATGCATCCCCTGAAAAAATGAACACGTCTCCTTTGGAAGATGGGACAGCTCAAGGAACTACAGGGGGTGGTACCAAAGCTGGCGATTTGGCAAAAGCAAACGTCTCACTTGCGTCTCCTATGTCTCACCTCAGGCCTTCTGCTCACGTCATGTGTTCTTGGGGGTGGGGTGGGGTGGGGTGGGGTGTGATAACGTCCTTTGGCTCTAGGCACAAGGACTACATCCTAACGCTCTTAGATTTCTCTTGTACTTGCACACGTATGCTACGCTATGAAATCTCCTCTTGTACTTGCACACATATGCTACGCTATGAGATCTTCTCTTGCACTTGCACATGCATGCTACCCTAGAGATCTTCTCGTGCACTGGCACCTCGATATGATGCTAATTTGCCATCTAGGACCTAGGAGGGCCGTGCGGATGTGTGATGTCATGTGAGTTCCCTCGTTTCAGAATCCTGCGTTTATACTACATGTTTCTTGCATGCTTCGGCTCTTATACGCAAAGATGACATGATGATGATGAAGAAGAAGAAGAAGATTATGATGATCAGGATGATGATGCTGACGCTGGTGCTGATGGTGATGACTGTGACGGTGACGACGGTGATGATGATGATGATGATGATGATGAGGATGAGGAGGAGGAAAAGGATGAAGAAGATGATGACCATGATGATGGGGGTGATGATGATGATGATGGTGATGATGATGATGTTGATGATGATGATGATGATCTTGGAGTCACAAGCGAGCAAATTTTGGAATCACATGCGAGCAGAATTTGGAGTCACAAGCGAGACATTGCCAATTTGGCAGGCTAGTCGGCTAGTCGGTTACCGCAGCTGACAATCTGCCAAGGGCACTTTCTGCAGCGTTTGTTCCTTTTGTCTCTATTTGAACAGTTTTGAACTGTAAAGGTTGCGC